TTCTCATCCATTTTACTTCCCCTCGTGCAGAAGGCATGATCTACATGTTCCCACTGTTGAACAGCTTCATCCACGTCCTCATGTACACCTACTACGGACTGGCGGCCGCCGGAGCCTACAAGTACCTCTGGTGGAAGCCCTACCTCACGCTGGCACAGATGCTCCAGTTCGTCATCCTCATCCTGCATCAAAGCCAGGTCTTCATCTATCCCGACGCCTGCGACTACCCCAAGACCTTCCCAGCCGCCATCTGCCTCTATTCGGCCATCTTCCTCGTCCTCTTCTCCAACTTCTACATCCAAGCCTACTGGAAGCAGCGTCGGCAGCCCAAGCTGCTGGCCGGCAAGGCGTCCGAAGTCAGACTGCAGAACGGCGCCTCGTCGAGCAGCCTCGCCAACGGGCATGTGGGCCCCTGTCTCGACTATAAGAACGGTCATGTGGCGAACGTCGCTCCGGCTGGTAGAGAAAAGCTGGGCCGGTTGAAGAAGTCCCAATAAGGGCGTTATGAGTCGCCGTTGCCCGTCCTCTCTTTCAGTGCCTTGTAGACACATCTCGTCTGCGGGTCTGCGGAACTGCAACTCTCCGAAGCCCCGGATTCCATGATCCCCAGCCTCGCTCCCCCCTCCCACATCCTCCACACCCTTCACACCTTTCACACCCTTCCTTTCAAGCCCTAGCATATCTTGGTCTTCTCCTTCTCCTCGTCCGTTCGCCGCCATCCGACCTTTGGCAGTCCTCTGGTAGGGTTGCTGAAGCCACCTGGGGTTCGGCTACCACGGGCAACAACTGTGATGGAGACCAGCTTGAGACTCGATACCACCCATCCCCGAGAGGCGGTAGTACAATTTCTCTTGTCTCTTCAGTCCCTTGTGAGCACACGCCAGATGCTATTTCAAGACTCACACAGACCAATCAGTCCAGCTTCAACTGATCTCCGCTATTCTTCTCCTTGCCCATCTATACATACACCCACAATGATTTGATTGCAATATCTACTCTAGTGACAGGGTCTTTTTTACCGACTTGTTCATGGTTGCTCTGCCAAAGCCCCGAATGGGTATCTACACTGGAGTCAGTTCACCCATCCCTGCCACAGTTACACTCGCATCGCACACACACGAACAAAATGCCCATAATAGGGCCTACATTTTGCTTTTGATTAATTCGGACGGACTCACCAAGTCCCTCTACTCGCCGCAAATCGATGCCTCCCTTGCCTTTTTGGATTGGCTCTTTTTTGATATGACCAAGAGACTGACTACGAGGCCATGTGGAACTCTTTCAATATTCACTTATACATAACGCATAGTATACATTGCCAACCGACTGTCTGGCTTTTGATCATACCCCTTGGGTGAGGTCTAGATCGACTGACCAGTCGGGTCGGAGACGACACTTATGAGTCTGTGCTCTCTGAGTGGAATAATGCCACCTGAGAGTTGTCGTGACTATTCATGTCGCCACTTACTATTTACTAACTACTCACGCTATCAATGAGCCATGTCTCTCAAATCGGGGCTTGTATGTCCTGCCTGATAGAAGTTTGGTTCGGCTGTCTTTTTCCACAAACCCAGAGTTTTTCTTGTAGACTGACCGTTTTGGAGGGTGGCAATTTATCCAGCACTGGTTGGCTGGGCAGCCTCCAAGCATGACGTAAGACCTGTGCATAGTTGGATTCACACGCGCATTTGTGTATTATATATGCACAAACGGCCAGGTCCATATGCATGTGTACAGGAACAAAACCCCACGAGGATTTCATGTTCTTTGACTAGTGCGTGTGAAAAGTTGAGCCGGAGTGAGCCGTGAACTGGGTAATTCACGAAGTCTCTGCCCAAATTTTCACATGAAATGAAGATTTACACAGTAAATGACGAGATGATCATTGTGCTTCAACAGACAATCATACTGATTCAAATTTAATGAAAAATTATTATATCCCTCGTATTTCCCGGGCAATTTGGAGCCCAGGCTCAGGCAGATTGCCACACAATGGACGTAAAGTCAAAGAAACACTGCAAAATGTTGAGTCCCAGTTGCAGGTGTTATGCAGTCATCTTCATGGCCCGGGAAATATTTATGCTACGCTTTAGTTCATTATTCATATGAGAGCTATTCATATTTTCATTTTTAGGTATGAGGGACGTCTAGTTGAATTTTTCCAAGATGCTGTCGCTGAGGCCTACTGATGGCTACTGATGGCCAGGTGGGAAAATGCAACTACCGGTTCTTCATCTTAATCCAAATCGTGAATACTGGGATAAAGCTTCTTTTTCCATTAATCTTCTAAGTCTCCATCAGAAAGAACGCAATGAAATGCAGGTGATGACGGATTGAGCTGCAAAAAATGAAGTAAATAAAGTTTCTTATTCGATGATGTTTGTGATTAAAGGCAACGAATCTGAATATCAAACGAAAAACTAATCTGTTCACCTCCGTGAGTCTCCGGCATTACTCAGTCGGGCATATGGTCTAAAAGGAGTATTAAGGGCTGCAGGATGGGAGAAGGCAAGCAACAATATGATATCGTGAATTGATATGACATCAAGTGCTAAGCAAGCTTTCTGGTTGCGGACACGGACAAATGATGTGAATGTGATTGAGGGGAATGGAGGGAAGGGTGGAGATGACTGGGTGGCTGGGTAGAAAGAGGGTAATGCGGTTGGTCAAGGCTGTAGTCATGAGAAAAGTGAAAATAGGCATGAAATGCATGGGAAAATAGGTGATAATTGGAAAAATGACAGGCGAGTGAAGATGAATGATGGGAAAAGCAGAAGAGTCTTTAAGGGAATCGAAATGGTGAGCAAGACCAGAAGTGTGGGATATTAAGGGGAAAAAGTACCAAGTGCAAATGTGGGCGAAAAAGATTAGTGAATTGGCTGAGCATCATCATCTGAGGCCGATTCGTCCGTTCTAAGCTCTTAGCTGCATGTTCAAGAAGAAAACAAACCCGCCAAAGACGAAACCAAAAGTGACTGTCAACTGCGGGCAAATGACTTGTTTCAGTCTATCCCCATTTTCACACATTAGTTGTGGGTTGCGTGTATAAACAATATGCGACCGGCCGCCAGAGATTGTTCCCATTTCCTTTTCCCTCCTGCAGAGGCTGTCCGA